GCCAAGTGTTCACTCAGCAACTCAAGGATGTGTTACCTAACCTTAGCTCTTCTTCATGCATATACCATTTTTAACTGTTCCTGTGGTTCAAGTTATGTAGGGCGCACGATTAGGCAGGTTCGTCTACGGTTCGAGAACATTTACCAGCTTGGTTCAGCAGGGGGAAATTAAGTGCATAAAAAGCTCGATCCTGTCACACTTGGTCGATACTGGACACAACATCGAAGTCAACACCCGTCTCAGGGTCATATATCGAATTCCGAAGTCGTTATCACGTACAGTTCTCTTACGTCTGCTACACATAGCTGAAGCTTTGCAATGAGATCGACTTAACCCGAACTTTGTATCCAAAAAGAACACGTCCAGATGCTGTTCCTACCCTGGCCAAACTTGGATTGATGATTCTTCTTCTCACCAAGAGCGCTCCTTCCTCTTAACCCTTTTGGTTTTTTCCTTTGCTTATTATCACAAATATTATTATTATTGATATCATTATTATTATTCGTCATAATTTATGCCCTTCATGAAAACATTCTCTCAATTATATCGAATTTTTTTCGTTTATACTATCCGGACTTATTAATAGTGATATTATCTCTTTTCTCAATATATGCCTCCACCTGTTTCATTTCACACATTCGTTATTTCATGATAAACGTATCATTGCAGTCTTACTATCTCCTGTTTAATACATACCACTTTGTATTAGTCACGCAGTTGACAACTTTTATAACCTTGAACTGGCTTGTCAGTTTTCCTACCCCACAGTCTACAAATCTATTATGACTATTCACCACCATTGTCTGTCATTTCACATTATTTTGTAATCGATTTCAGCCTAGAAAGTTTGTCACACAAATACGACTATTTATTTTGACACCCCATAACTAATCTGTTATTCTATGTAAAAAATTTATCCTCCGCAAAACCGGCTCTCATTATTGTAACGATAACCAATATTATATTTTATAATTGTAAGAAGCTGAAGATGGGAAATTATTGAAAAGCATATTCTTCGTTCAGATTGACGTTTTAATACAATACAAAGTGACAGTAATAAAAATGTATTCTTACTGCTTCCCTGCCCACTAACTGTGTGCTTTTCTGTGTCACAGATGATTTTGCACAGATAAAGTTTTATTCACCATTTACCTAATTCCTTTTCAGGCCATTGGATAAGAGGAATGAAGTTTGAAATTATAAAGGTCAGTAGTTTAAACAATTTGATATTTGAAGACTAATAAAAGATTACGATGAGATGTATTCAACTGAAATCTGAAATAATCAAGAATTTGTATAGTGTGCACCATTTTTTTTCGCATTTAACACCTTAATAAAAATCGAGTATGGAAAAAGTTTTTTACTCAACTCGTTGAGAATACAGCACAGTATCAGTTTTAAGTTAACAAAATAGAAATAACTACAGTTTTAGCGGGATAAAATGGTACCATCTTTTATTTCGTTGCCTTCTGGTCAGCTGCTTACAGGCCACAGACATTATTAAATGTATCTACAAAAACAATTTAACATACTTGCACAGAGTTCATGTTAAACAAAAATTAATCGATCAATATACGCATACACTAATAATATATACATATATATGCAATATTAAACACTATTCTGAACAGTAATAATCATACACAATGGAAAGTTTTCAGTATCTCGCATTCAGATGAAAGAGACATGAAAAATATCCAGTTACCAGGGCAAAGAAAGACTGATAACCGCTTCTTTCTGAACGCATAAGTCAGGTATCAGGCGCTTGATGGAAATGGCTTCAGCAAACTTGAGGAGAATTGAACTCTTTTGCCTATTGATAATTTTGAACGACTTTTTGACGTCCACCTCATGACTGACCCGTGTCAAGGAGATGTCTGGCGATGGCACTGTTTAAGGCATTTGTTCCCTTTAGACGTAAGCTTTTTGGTACGTGTTCAGAAAATCGTAGATATGCCCTTCTTTCTGTCCTTCCAATGTAACTGCTCCCACAGATACATGTAAATTTGTATATACAGTTGGAGTTAACATGAGAAGGATATCTATCGATTTTGATTGCATCAAAGAGCAAGTTGTTCGAAAGACGGGAACGAGCTCAGCTGCAGGATAGGCTATGACTAGTGATGTACTCAGTCTTCTGTTGATCATCGCTGCAATGTTTTCACCTTTATAATCAAGCTGAATGTAGATTGGCTTTTTACCCACTGTGAATTTTTTTACATTTGTGACTTCAGATCTTCCATACTTGTTGATGAAGCTTTGAGGGTATCCATTGCTCTTCAACATTTTTTCAAGAAACTCAAAATCTTCCTCTAATTTCTCTGTAGAGCATATTCTCCTGGCTCTATAGTAGAGTCTTGACTAGATCACGTTTAAAGCTATTTGGACAAAATCTATTGAAATGTAAGTATTGTCCTTTCCATGTAGGCTTTCGATAAATTGACTTTTGAAGAATACCGTCTTCTAGGCGTTGCATGGCGATGTCGAGGAAGTGGAACTTTCAGTCACTTTCATGTTCCACAGTGAACTCAATATTGGCGTATGTATGAAACTAGAAATAACCTGCAGTAAATGAAGTGAGTAAAATCTTCAATAGCGATGTGGTGTGCACAGACAGAAACACAATGTAAGCTTAAATTGGGATTCGCGATTTTCAAATTTCACAGTACATGGAGGTGAAGTCTTACCTTAGGAACTGAAATTATTGAGATCACAATATGTGGTCTGCTTGAAACCGTCTACCCTTAGTGACGATAAAAGTAGGCATAAATGCGAGATTTTTTGATGTGAGTGGTGCCAACTACTCATATCTTCTAATAAGTAGCATATAACGGCACTGCATGCTGCTTTGTTTCTTGTAAGTTAAAAAACATAAAAAATAACATTTTGTTTTTATTCCTTCACGTTCCCAGTGGAAAATATAGGGCTTCAACCTAGAGGCTTGAAGTTTCTATAGCAGTGGTGTTTATTTTTACAGGATGAGGTTGCTAGCCTCATGCCCAACCATTCCGCTGTACCAGCAGTTTTTATTTCTGGCTTAGCGAGGTAAAAGAGTGCATCAGTGGCTGGGGATCGAACGCCAGACCATGCGCATGGTCGGCGTTCGTCCTAACCTCCGTGCCACCGACTAAAGATAACTACTATGGTTATATATCAAAAGTTAGGTCTGCCTTACAGAAAGTAGTCCAAATGTATCTACAGTTGACTGGTCGATAAGACAAGATGAAGTAGAGTGGAAACTAATGGAATTCTTCGAAGTGAGGACAGGAGTAAGACAAGCTGACTGCCTACTATCGCCAATGAATCTCTTGATTGCAGTAGATTGGATAATGCGACAAACAGCGGGCAATGAGGAAACAAGCATAAAATGGACTCACACAAAAAACTTGGAGGATCTGGACTTCGCCGATGATATATGTCTGATTTCCCACAAACTGGAAGATATGCAAATGAAAATCAACAAGTTGGTAGAAGATGCATCAAAGACAGGAGGGACTTCACGTGAACATAGGGAAAAAAGAGGTGTTAAAGATTCCTGGACAAGAACAACAACAACATACAACGATCAGCATAAATGGGAGAAACCTGAAGGAAACAACCTCCTTTACCTACCTTGGAAGCATCGTTTCAACTACAGGCGGAAATGACGAGGATATCAAAGCAAGAATCGGAAAAGCAAGACAAGCCTTCACTACTCTCAAGTCTGTGTGGAGGTCAACAGCACTGCTCAGCATCAAAAATAAGATCCGGATTTTCAACTCCAATGTGAAGTCAGTCGGTGTTACTATACGAATCAGAGACTTGGCCAGCGCGTCATAAAGAGCATCTCAAACAAACTACAGACCTTCATTAACAGTTGTCTTCGCTCACTACTCAAAGCCAGATGGCCGGCCAGAAAATATCATCAACAGCGTAGGATCTCTGGGAGCGAACCAACACAGCAGGAACCGATTGTGAAACAAATAAGCAGGAAGAAATGGAGGTGGATTGGATTGGCCATACTCTGAGGAAACCATCAAGTGACATCACTAGACAAGCCATTGCTCGAGTGGAACTCGAAAGGAAAGCGGAGAGTTGGTCGTCATTGCGAGGGTGACTTGGAGGAGGTCATGTGAAGAGGAGATGAAAACGTGTGGGCAGACTCGCAGCCAGGTGGAGATTCTAGCAGAGAACCGAACGCGATGGAGACACACGGCTGAAGCCCTATGTTCCTCTAGGAATTAAAATAAACAATTATTATAATATTATAAGTAGAGTGGATCAAAGAGACTTGAAAGTCGACCGTCAGTTAATCGTTGGGTAATTATAATTAATTAAATTAGTCTTTCTATGATGAATTCAACAGGTAAAAATGCTAAAGTCAGAAATGACCATTGTACAGGGAAAATCTTTTTCACTAAAATAAATATTTAAAGCAGTACAAGTATTCCTTTTTTTCATGCTCATCGATTTATCCTTAATACAGGGATTCATCAGAATTATTTTATTATCATTATTATTATCATCATCGAAGCTAAGCGATCGAGTATTACTCTAAATGTCAAAGCTTGATGACCATTTCTGTAGACTATTTAGACAAAATGCAAATATTTGTTCTGAATAAAATGCAAACTGTTTTCATCGTACATAATTCATATTTAATGTATATATATATATATATGTAAATGTAATATAGTTATTCAACAAAGTATCGTGTACACATACTCGACCAGTCGCAGTGACGAAATGGTACAGAAATACAAAACATCACATTTTGTCCGTAATATAAAAAAATAAGTGAACTGGACGAATAAAAATGATTTGAAACTACCAAAAACTATGCTGGTCTATTGATTTTGGGCGACTTCATCTCTTCTCCTGTATATTCTGCTTTTTAAATTGTTAGTCTGCGTATAGATTGACAGACAACCAATTAGGTCAAAAGCCCAAGGTCAGGCGCAGGCGTACAATGTCCCGATACGGTTGGATAATTTAGAATTTATAATAATAATTTTTACCATTATAATTTCAATGTAGGGGAAAAGAAAACATTTATTTTTTTACCTGCCAATATTAAAGATACATACATAATTTGAAAATAAGCTCACATTTATTTGTACATTAATTAATTTAAAAGGCGGAGTAAACTCCGAGCCTAGTGTTTGTTTCAAGCCTAGTTGAAATAATAGAAAACTTTTGGTTCTTTCCAGTGTGTTTTTGCAATATGGATGAAGAAGTGTTATTGTCTCAGTTTCGTCAAATGGATAAAGATGGCAATGGTACTCTATCACGAAAAGAAATAAAAGAATGTATGCGATTAAGTGGATTTAATGACAAATTTATTGCAGTGAGTTTTTTTTTTTTTTTAATTTTATGAAAAATATTTTATAATGTCTTTTTCTTTGACTTATTCACTCCCATGAATTTTGATAACACTGTGATAGGGAGTCGAGTCGATTGAATATCGCCTATCTCCGCAACTTTTCGTCTGACTTATTCCACAAAGCAGTTGATATATGTGTAAAACTTGGGCACTGTGGTAGTAAGTAATTCCATATTAGTTTGTTTATTAGATGTATCACACAGTGAGTGAAACAGTATTATTTACTGGATGACGTTTCGAACACAATCTAGCATTGTTCATAATCATTTCATCAATTATAATCACATGACTTTGACACTTGAGTTTTATAGTTTTCTTTGTTCTCTCCTATTTGTCGTCGTTGGGGTAGTAGAATTTTCCAGATATCTGGGTGGATAGGTGCTGAATCATTCCTATTACACGTGTTTGCAGCTGATTCGATAAACGAAGCTCCTGTTATCAATCTCTCCCTCCACCCTGTGACATTAGATTAGATTTTAAAACTGTCACCTTATCTCATCCTATTGTATGGTTGTGTGTAATTGCATGTAGTGAGTGGTATAGCTGAACTATTCTCTAGATTTCTTATCTTATTCGGGTCAACTAATCTGGCTGCCCCTGTTCTACTAGTTTGACCTATGTATTTGACCTGACAATCATTGCAGGGTATTAGATAAACTAAATTGTTTTGTTTTAAAGGCTCCACAGGATTGATCCTTTAACCGACAAAGCGTGTTTCTAATTGAGTTTGTGGGTTTGAATGCCAGCCACTTTTATTCCTGCCCGCCTTGTTAAGAATTCTGAGTAAGGCTTCCCAGGTTCCTTCCTTGTATGGAATTACTACTGATGATTTAGATTCATTATTGTTGGTGTCGTCATTAAATATTATCATTATTATCACTATTATTATTATCATTATTATTGTTTTTATCACTGTCGCTAGTATCATTATTTATTTTATTTTTACATTTCCTCACATAGTTCTCGATTAATTTATCAGGGTAATTATTAAGTTTCAAGACTTCTTTAATGTGTATCAGTTCCTGTTTTAGATTTTCTTTGGTACTACTTAATTTTTTGTGCTCTATTATTTGAACATTTCACCAATCCTATTTTTACTGACATAGGATGGGATGATCGGAAGTCTGAACATCTGTTTGAATGTGTGGGTTTCCTGTAAACATTAGTGTTTAACTTCCCATCTTCTTTCCTTTTTACGTTGCAGTTAAACATTGGAAGCTCCCCTTCCCGACTTTCGATTTAGTAAGTGAACTGAATTGACTCTACCTTTGGGTCAATGTGTTGGAAAAATCTGTTTGTGTCGTGTGTTTTAAGTACAGTGAATGTGTCATCTACATTCCTCCACCATACTTTTGGCGGGGTGGGGGTGAACATTTCAATCGCATTGATACTTTCTGGCATAACTTAACCTCTTCTATTGCAATTTATGTATTTTGTTGCTCGCCCTTATTCTTCCCTGGACTTCTCAAAAAGACTATCCTATATAATATGGAGAACATTGAAGGCTGTACGTAGGGTTAGTGGTGTGCCTTTGACTCAATTATCTAGCACCGCAGTTTTATGAGTATTCCAATTCTTACAAGCAGCTGGTTAAAATGATCTTTTCTGATACTACTGAACATTCTCTTTATTCGCAACGTTTGCCTTGTGTATCCTCAGGTAAAACTAGAAGAAACATCATAAGAATTTAATCTTGTATGACATAATTTAAAAATTCTACCATACCATATTTAGAAAGTATTTTGAACGAAGAGTCGAATGTCAGAAAGAAACTATTTAAATCAATAACTGAACTGAAAAATATAAGCGAAAACTATTTATTTTATCTTCAAAAGAATGAACACGGAACAAAGAGTACTCTTTTCGATAACCTGCTCTTCATCAGGTTTTACAATTATATATACATTATAATGAATGAATGAATTAGTTTTATGAACGACATTAATGTTTAAATAACATCAAATCAATAATATCAATGGATTACTGTTCAATAGCATCAACATAAAACAAGCTGAATGTCAGAAGAAATAGAAAAGATAATAGTACAAATTCAAGAGTTTATAGTTTCTACTGAGGGCCAGAGCAGTAGTAGGGGCTAGCTGGACTTGTTTCTTTTGCACACAGAGCACTGGTTGTTTGAGGCGAATTGCAGTAGCCTCTGCTATTTGGAGCATGCGGTGCTTCAACGATTTTGGTAATTTGTTAGGCACGCGGTTTATTATAGAGAAGGATTCTTCTACGCTGGCTGGCTTTGTTACGGGTTTGCACCAGATGGTCTAATATCGAGCTGTTCATCGTTTTAACTACACCTTTACTTAGCCATACTGGGAGATGTTCTCAAGCATGAAAAATCAAGTTCCTAGAGCATCGGCAAACATAACTCGCTCCACAAGCGCAGTTGAATTGATAGATACAATTTGAAGTGGCTAGTCTAGGTACTTCATCTTTCAGTCGAAGTAGCACCATCAGTCGTGTAGAGAATAAGACGTGTAGTTCGCCAGCATTAAAAGTTCTTTGAACTGATTTTCTTAATTTCTTCGTAATTACCTCGCTTGGTATATCGCCCATGATTTTTATTATATATTTATATTGTTTTGACAACTTGATCACGGATTGATATCAGTTAGAGAAGTACTGAAAATCAGTACTAGAGTGTTGGAAAGCTGTTTCATACAAGTTTGAGAGTCATCGGCAGTACGCACCCACCACACCGGTTCGAACTCACAACCTTCCGGTTACAAGGCAAGCTAGCTCGTAGAGCCTTAAGCAGCCCCTGGGAGCCGATTCAATGGCCAATCCATGAATTCTAACTTCTACCAATTTATAATTCATTATGTTCCACTAACTTTCAGTTTTTATGGTCTTATTGTCTTTAAAATTTTATGGATTTTTACACTTATAAAATGGTGGAAAATATCCATTGGAACATTAGATTGAGAAGAACAAGAAGTTCAGCAAAGATATCGACCTTTCGGTGATTTCATTCTCAAGAGCTGTACAATCGCATTTATATAGATAAGTTTACATGGATACAATTCTTATTTGTTTAATTCCACATAGTAACGAAGGTGATAATAATTTTCAACTTGATATGAAAGTTTGAAGGTACGAATATAGATTAAAAGGGGCTTAGAGACAAGATTACATAGGATTAGAAAACAGTTACAACGTATGCAAAATTAATATTTGATAACTGGAGAAATAGTTTTAAAGGCGAATAAAAGGTGATAATTGTTTTCAACTTGATATGAATTACAAGAGGCTTAGAACGAATTACAGGTGTGAACAAAATGAGCATGGAAACAAATTGAAATCAAAATTTTCAACTTGAAATGTAAGTTAGGAGGTGTGAATATAGATTACAAGAGGCATAGAAACAAAAAATTACACAGGATTAGAATATAATTGTAAAATGGTTATTCTAAACGGATTACAAGTGTGATCAGGAGGAGCATGGAAACAAACTTAAAATAACTGATTTTATAACTGAAAAAAATGGGATGAATTGAATGAAGACAAAGAGAGAAAAATACACACAGAGAACAAAACAAAAAACTGAAGGATAAGGGAACATACCGAACTAGGTCCATGGTAGTTGTAAAGGCTGGGCTAGTTTCTTTTGAACACATAGCTCCGGCTTTTCGATGCATGTGGCGAGAGCTTCCGCAGTACAAAGAAGTCGGAAGCACACTGTCTTTGGTAGATTTTTGTTTACTTTGTAAATGACTCTAAATGATGAGTCGGTTGACATTCTGTGACAGGTATTGACAATATGTTCAGTTATTGCGCTTCTGATTGAACCAGTGCCTCCTCTTTGCACCCATACTGGATGATGTTCTCTAACACGTTTTGGTAAGACCCGCATAGAACGACCTATGTACCTAGCTCCGCAAGAGCAGGTGAACTGATATATGCACATTGAAGTGGTCATATGCGGAAGTCTATCCTTCCCATTGCTCCGAAGTAGTGGGCGGCTAGAGAATATCACTTTTAGAGTTGCTGCCGGAAACGTCTTCTTCAGGGATTTGGAGATGAACTAAAATGTTGCAATATGTATGAAAAAAAGACGTTGGAAATCTCCGTCCCATATGATTATTACCGTTTGAAATAAAGTGATGAGTACTATTTAAAAAAAGTCAATATATAAAAGTAGATAATTTCATTATTAAATGTGCACTTTTCGTAAGAATCAGTGTTGCATGTTGTGTAAAATGCAAGGCGGATTATTTCAATTTCATACAATACAGCAAGTTAACTAGTAGTGGTAAGACTAGTTTTGCTATTCCAAAGATAAAGTAACTTCATTTTATTACTACATACCGAAAATTAGTCAGGGGAAAGTCTTTACCAGTCATTTGGATCTACTTGTCACCAATGTACAAGAAATAGGGACGAATTAATGTTGTTTAAAACAACACAATTTTTTTTCCTTCACGTTCCCCAGTGGAACAGAGGGTTTCAAGCTAGTTGGCTTGAAGTTTCTGTAGCAGTGTTTATTTTACAGGATGGGGTTGCTAGCCTCATGCCCAACCATTCCGCTGTACCAGCAGTTTTTATTTCTGGCTCAGCGAGGTAAAGGAGTGCGTCGGCCGGGGATCGAACCCCGGACCATGTGGACGGTTGGCTAGCGTCCTAACCACTATGCCACCGACGCACAACACAATTAAGAGACCAGTATTGCGTTTCCAATTAAGTTTCATCAGGCTTAACTCTAATAAACATAACTTTACAAATAACTATTAAAATGTAAATCAATCACGGTGTTTTGTCAATTGGATAATAAGATTGTGCATATAAATTTTGCAATAAGTCATAATAATAATAGTAATGGTTCTGCGAGTTGATCAACTCGTAAAAACAAGTCTAATCCTTACAAACCAACAGGTGAAAGGTAGTGGTTTTATCAGTAAGACATGTGAAAAGGTGGATCCACTCACTAGTCACTAACTAGCTACTCACTAGTT